CAGCTCTTCAGCTCAAGGCTAGCGCTCTACCACTTGAGCCACAGCGCCACTTCTGGCTTTTTTCTTTTTGCTTATGTGGTGCTGGGGAATCGAACTCAGGGCCTCAGGCATGCAAGGCAAGCGCTCTACCACTGAGCCACTTTCCCAGTCCAGCAGCCCTTATTTCTTGGAGCAGCCATGAACACATGGGGCAGAGTGCGCGGGCAGCTGCCTCCTCCAAGGTGAGCGCTTCAGCTCCACCACGCCTTCCTGCCAAGATCAACTGAAACTGTCAGCTAAACTGAAGCAGAGAACTTACAGCAACATCTAACACCTCCCATAGCCCTTCCCCAAAGCTGCTTTCTACTTTTTCATATTTGAGTCTAGGTCTCTTTAAGAAGTCAATCATCACTGAGGAGACAGGGGTACCCGGGAAGTCACAGGGATGGGGGGGGGGCGGGGGAGTCACTAGGCTCAAGCCCGGGGGCATGATGGGAAAGGAGGGCACAGTGCTGTCTGGGAAGGTCCATGGAACTCAGGCAGGGGGCATGATGGGAAAGAGAGGCAGAGAGCAGGCTGGGAAGGTCCAGTTCCCTCCCCCAGTACTAAGGCATGACGGGAGAAGAGGGCGGAGAGTAGGTCATGAATAGCCAATCAGATCAGGCCTAGGGCATGACGGGAAAGAGCTGGGAAGGCCAAGTGCTTTCAGGTCTGGAGCATGTCGGGAAAAGAGGGCGGAGACTAAGGTTCCACCCGCTCGGCCGGCGGGGGATTGCGTTGCGGTGTTTCGTGGGAATTCCTGTGTGAGAAGAAAACTTGTCCCGGTGTGGCCGGGAGCCTAGGTCCTATTGCACTTTTTGAGTCCACGCCCGTCTGGGAGAGGGAGGTGTAAGCAGGAGTGCGCTCGGTGGTGGTGGTGGTGGCCGCGGCGGAGGGGGCGGCTGTGGGGGATGGGGGCCGAGTGGGGCCGAGCCACGTGACCCGTAGACTCCGGGCGGGCTGCGTGGCGGCGGCTGCACCGGCTTTTGCGGCTTCGGTGAAGCCTTGGGAGGCTAGGGGAGTGGGAACGAAGGGGTTTGCCAATGGGACTCGGTGGTCACCAGCGTTCGCTCCTGCGCTTCGGCTTTAGTCTTCAAGTGACTGGTGTTGGGAATTGGTGGGAATGCGAACTTCGGAACGCGAGCAACACGGGGATGGTCCCAGGTAGATTGCTCCAGCTGTGGCACGTAGTCAGAAATTGTCCCTTCTTCCGAACGGACTGTTAATCTGGTTGTCCATTTCCATGCCCGGCTTGCCAGTTTGGATTGATGGCTTGAGCAGAATTTCCTATTTTGCTTCAGCTTTCCCATGTGTGTTTACTCATCTTAACGCCTTGTTTACAGAATGTCATTTGGGAATTGGGACTCTGAGGAGCTTAGACCTCCTTCGACACCCTGGAAGGTATAGGTCACTCACTTGTGTGTGAGGTGTGACTCATGTGATAGAGCACAGATCAATCCTCAAAATTGCTAAATAAATGAACAAATAAATACAATAAACTTCAGTTTTCAAAAATTAAAAACTCGTATCTATTAACTTGTGAATGGGATCTTGAGCTCCGATCTAGTGTCAGGCTTCAAAACAGTGCCTTTGCAGGATCCTAGAGAAGAGTGAGTTTAAATATGAATGGCGATTGCTTTATTCCACTTTGGGAAATGAAAGCTGACATGGAGGCTGAGCATGATGGGCTCATGCCTGTCTGTACTCCCAACACTTCAGAGCTATCTAGAGAGTTCCCAACTGAAAAGAGAGAAAAGAAAAACAAAACAAAAGCTGATACGAGCTTTCAAGTCATAATACTCATGGTATCCGGAACTGTACCTGGCATCCGTCCCACTGAGGCTTGGTAACTTCCTCCTTTGGCTTGATCTGTCAATCTGATTCCACTCAACAGCCTTCCCCATATTAGAGCTACAGTGCTTGTCTTTAAAAGTACTAGGGAAGTGTGAGCTTTTGCTGGCTGAAGTATCATAAGTAAACGAACCTATTAAACGAACAGAAAATAGGAAGAAAGAACAGAGTTAGTTATAGTCCCAGAAGGGATCTTTTTCAAATGCTCAATCCTAAAGCTTCTAGTATAAACATGAAGGAAAACGTAACAAATCATTGAATGCCAATCTTTTATGTTATGTTTTAGGAGTCCAACTATCCATTGCCAGGAAATCTGTTTAAACTAGGGAAACGTTCCATATAAAAACTTAGAATGAAAGAATCTTTGGATGGTGGATGTGACAAAGCCATAGTACCACAGAGGCTTTTGGACAAAATTAAAGAAGAACCGCATGATGCTCAAGTAAGCACTTCCTGATTTTTTTGAAGTTACCTTTTCAGTCTGTTGAATTGAAAACTAATTAGTTTAGTGGTTTATTGCTTATAAGATAAAATAACTCAAACTATTACTTTTTTTCCTGTTAAAGGGGCCTGGTGGTTTGAATATGTTCTCATAGTTCATGTGTTGGAAATGTAATTCCCAATTCAACATTGTTGGAGGGAAGGGCTTAATAAGATAGGTTATGAAGGCTCTTCTCTCATGAATGGATTCATGTCACTGTTCTATACAGTTCAGCTTCCTCTTGATCTTCCCCCTGTCCCTTTGGTGATATTGTAGTTTGAACTCAAACTTACTAGGCAGATGCTCTACCACTTCAACCATAACCACAACACTTTCTTCTTCAGTTGTTTTTCAGGTAGGGTTTTATGTTTTTGTTTGCAGCTGGTGTTAGACCACATGCCTCATGTATAGCTGGGATCACAAGTACATACTAGCACACCTGTCTTGTTGGTTGAGATGGAACCAAGAAAATTCAAAACTAATTTTGGAACTGCTTTTGTCAGTTTTATTTTGCTAAATGTAGGGAAGGTAAAAGCACAGCTATAATTGATTATCTTTTTTTTTTCAGAGAAGTAAGACTTTCTAAAAAACTTCTTTTTTGAAACATGGAAAGCTATTATAATACCAGGGAGGGGATTTAAGAATAAAGAGCAGTTCTTTTTCCGAGAATTTGTTTTGGAGGGAGTGTATTATTGGGATTTGAACTCTGTGTCAAATTTACTAGGCAGGTACTCTACTAGTTGAGGGATGGTCCCAGCCCAAGAGCAATTCTTTTCCAAATATTAAAATGTTAATGATTACATTTTCTTTTTACAACACTTAAAAGAGTACATTAAGGATAAGTCTCATTTAAGCTGTGACATCAATAACAGATGTGACAGCTTAGTACATCTGTTATCTTAAAAGTATTAATTTGGATTTAAACTTTACATCCTTCAGATTTAATTTTATTTATCATTCCTTTGTAAATACATCCTAGAGAACAAGAAGTGGGTCAGCACTGGTGCCTCATATCTACTCCTGTCTACTCAGGAGGTTGAGATCTGAAGATCATGGTTTGAAGCTAGCTTGGGCAGGAAATCAGTAAGAATGTTATCTCCAACTAAGTACCAAAAAAAGGCAGTGGAGCTGTGGCTGAAATGGTAGAGTACTAGCTTTGAGCAAAAGAGCTCAGGAACAGCATTCAGGCCATGAGTTCAAGCTCCACACTGGCACCAAAAAAAAAAAAAAAAAGGGGATGATATGGATATGTATTATTCTCATATATCAAGATTATATTTTAAGGGGCTGGGAAGGTGACTCAGTGGTAGAGCCTTGCATGCATGAGGCCCTGGGTTCGATTCCCCAGTACCACAAAAACAGAAAAAGCCAGAAGTGGCGCTGTGGCTCAAGTAGTGGAGCTCTAGTCTTGAGCTGAAGAGCTGAGGGACAGTGCCCAGGCCCAGAGTTCAGGCCCCATGACTGGCCAAAAAAAAAAAAAGTTATGTTCTTCTAGGTGCTGGTGGATCACCCCTGTAATCTGAGATCTGAGGATTGTGGTTCAAAGCCAGCCTGGGCCGGAATGTCTGTGACATACTTTTTTTTTTGTCGGTTGTGGGGCTTGAACGCTGGGCCTGGGTGCTGTCCCTGCGCTCTTCAGTTCAAGGCAAGTGCTCTACCTCTTGAGCCACAGCGCCACTTCCAGTTTTCTAGTGGTTTATGGGAGATCAGAGTCTTACGGACTTTTCTGCCCGGGCTGACTTTGAACCGTGATCCTCAGATCTCAGCCTCCTGAGTAGCTAGGATTACAGGCTGAGCCACAGGTGCTGGCTTCGTGACACCACTCTTATTTCCAGTTAACACCAGAAAACCAGAAGTGGCGCTGTGGCTCACTTGCCTTGAGCTCAAGAGCTCAGGGACAGCACCCAGGCCCAGTGTTTAAGCCCCATGAGAGACAAAAA